AATATTTTTTCAACTAAATAATCATAGCACTTGGATATCAAGTTCCAAGATTATTTAATCATATGGAGCTCACTACCTCAAAGCCACACTCAACTGACAGCTTTAAATATAAGAAGATTGCATTGTAGGATACAGACCACTAAATTTAAATCAATAATCTTTTATATCTGCTTTGACACAAGAAAGTGAAATGTCTTTTGCAACATTTAAGGTGCAAAAAGATAAGTGGAGAACAAATAATCTAGGCCTAAAGCAATTGTGATTGATGTTGTACAATACTTGATCTTAGCCAAAACAACGAGAAAGGTATTGGCATTGGTCTCATATTTATTACGTGCGCACAATTTGACGAGGCCAGCTTAAGTTACAGTATCTCATACTAGTGGAATCATGAAGCTAGCTGATTGCTACCTAAGCATCAATAGGAATTATACCAGAACCAGAAAAGTATTATTACACATTATAGAAGAGTGCTTGGACTTACTTCCCAAGAGCCTTCTCATGCAAAACAAGACCCATGCCAGTGCCATCCATTCCTATACATTGGAATTGCATTCTAGTAAGTCATCCAAAAATATTAAGAGAAACCCTCCACACATTTAATAATAAAAATTGTATCCTAGGAACAGCATGCATGACCTTGCTGAAACGTACTGCTACATTGGATTGATCTTTCCTCAAATTTTAGGACTACCAAACTGATATCAATTCCCCTATCTGTACCACTAAACTAATATAAAAACATGTTATAGTGTTATTTTTCTTTTGATTTTGAAGATTACCTGGCAGAAAAAGGAGGAGAGGAGAGTCTTCCAAAGGAGGGCCAGCTGATATGGGAGTAAACCACCGCGGAGGACCTCCATCAGGCTTAATAATCTCTGATCCTATCTCAAGATAATCCTTAACAGTTTGAGTTCCATATCCATCATCCCAAAGAGTTTCCAACTTGTTTTGAATATCCTCCTTGTTCTTCTCCTTAATAGCTGGAGCCAGATGACTATTTTTCACATCAATTATTGTGCTACTTTTCTCCTTTTCTTCAATGGAGGACACACCATTAACTATAACAGAATCTGAAGACAAAAATGTAGAGTCCCTGTTAGCTAAGCATGCGAACCGAGCTATACAGTGAGGCTTATAGTCCGGACTAAGACCAAAACGAGGGACTGCCCAGAAATTATGCAGAAGAGAAGCCATGGTTTGCAACAAATGGCCACAAACTGCAAAGTTTCAAACTTCTGTAGAAATACTGTAATGTTTTATGAAAACAGCACAAGAAAGCTAGCAGATAAATATCTCATATTTTAAAGACACTTTTTCCACCACTCCCATCAAAGGGAAAGACAAAAACAATAGTTATTGATAGTGAAAGTGAAAGAAACCAGAAACGAATTCCTAATTTTTCCAAAAAAAAAAGAATCTTGAAATTGCAAAACTCCTTTAATCACATCAAAGAAGCTTAAAGCCACAAACTTTAATCAGATGCGTGGCTAAAATGAGTTCACATACATGTGGAGTTGCTTGAACTACTGAAACCTAACATCCAAAATACAAAATAATTTACAAAATTCTTGACAATTTATCAAGATAAGAAAGCAAATGCGCAGTTCAAAAAGATAAAAAGATTAAAATGAAGGATAGATTGGACACTTACCAAATCAGAAGTACCCATGTGTGGCTTTTTATGGGAGATGCCCATTGCCCATGACCTCCATTATTTAGTATTAATTAGAAAACTAAATTCAGTATAAACTACTACAGCCTTTTCAGTGAAACGGATATCTGCTGTTTAAATTGTTTGATTATGACAGCTTGGTGCCAGATTTTTCTACAATATTACAAGTTGCCTTTTTTTTTCATTTCCTCAGGTTGTTCCTTTATCCCTTTGGTTTTCCACTGGTTTTGAAAAGTCAGGTAAAACCTTTCTAACAGAGGCGGCAAAAAAAAAAGTATTTTAATTTGATTTAAAAAAGTATTTATCCGTCATAATTTTTGTTGGTATATTTGACTAATTATTGTAAATCCAAAAGTTTACTATTTTTATCTTATCTTATTTTGTAAGATTCCAGTGTATATGTTATTGTTATTTTACAAAAGTTAAAATTTTGATTTCTTTTTAAAGATATTTTATATATTTTGTCTAACCTCACAAGATTCAATTGTTTTTTTACGTTTTAAACTTTGTGTTCATTTAAAATTGGACAAACAAATTGAAATTGCAAAAATATATAATTTTTTGCATTTTACATGTCAATAATCAATATTTTCATGAGAACTGCTTTAATAAAACTTAATCAGACTCAATATTTTGTACTCCCTCTATTTCAAATTAATTAAATTGTTGAAGTATTTCATATTCTTCAAAAAAAAATTTAAGACATAAATTTGACATAACTTTTCATTTTTACCCTTATTAATTATTGTCAAATTTATGGTTCAAATAACTAAACATTAGTTAATAACTAATTCTAATACTAACTAATGAAGAGTAAAATTAGAAAAACGTTCTAAAAGAACTCTTGAAAATTGAATAATTAAGTTAATTTGAAAAATAAAATATATCTCAACGATTTAACTAATTTGAAATGAATGAAGTATTAATTTATCAAATAGATAACAAGCGTGCACTTGTGTGACCAGTTAATCATAAACTCATAACAAATTAGTGTGATTTAACGTAAATATTTATATATGTAATGGTATTACCAAGTCTTTATTTTACATTCAAAAATCAAAAAAATGACCACGTAGCCTAACTTTATAGATATTTTTATCGTTTTATATTTGAAGTGTTGTGATACACAAGAAAATGGAACTATTTAATAGACAGAACTCAAATCACCCCTCATGTTGTGACAAGAATAGAAGTTTAAGACAAAATTAGCTAAACAATCTCTATGTAGAGTCTTGTAATATGTTTATGTTGTTGTTATAATATTAATTAATTTAAATCAAGACTAAATTGATGGTATTATAGTTGATATTTTACAAGTAAAATTTGCATCGAAACAACTTTATACTAATCTCGATCAAATCTAAACGTGATTTTTAAAATTTATGTTACTCATTTTTATAAATTTAAAAAGTCATTTTTGGGAAAAAAAAAAGCATACGTCCTACTCATATCAAGTTGGACTTGATTTTGATTCATTAAATCAACTAAACTTAAAATAAGTAACTGAAATTTGAAAAATAATCAAATTTTGGATTCTCCTTTTCTTTTAAGGTGATTTTAACTTTTAGTGAGAATGACAACCCTTTATGCCCTATAAATATTTATTACACAATTTTTGTAGAGTAGTTGATCAATAATGAATTTTAAAAGATCATTCATCACACAGTCAGTGAGAGTGATATTTACATAAAATATTAATATAAAAATAAAGTTGGTTTAGTCCCTAACTAAAACTTTGATTGAAGGCCTCAGAATTGCATTAAGTAGGGATGTAAATCAATACATTTTTTTAATGAATTAGTTCAACTTCTCTTTTTATCAGATATTTGCAATTTGTAACCAATTATTAATCTCAATAATTTAACATATTAATTTTTATAATCTAAAATTAAAAAAAAATTCTAAAAAATATTAAATAAAAAACAACTCATACGTTCAAGAACTAGTAATAGATGATACGCAAAGATAAAATGATGAATAGAAAAATAAGGTAACAACTCAATTATGATATCACTAATTGTAATTGTATAACAGTATGTAGAATGTAGAGTTAAACACAATTACATTACACAAATTAAAAATCCCAAGAAAAACCCTAAATTCCAAGAAACACAGTAGCAATCACTCAAAAATTTCAATTACCAGTAATTAAAGATCATCTTCCATCCTCAAATACTCTCCAATATCAGCTTGATGAAGCACTACAATTCCATTCGGATCCATTTTCCGGCAATCCTGAGTACTCTTCGCTGCAACCCCAAATCCCAATGGCACATCCGACATCGAAAACACAACCACACCATCATGATCACTAATACTCTCTGTAATCCTTCCAACTCCACCTTTCAATACATTATTTCCATAAAGAAAACTCATCTCAGACGTGGGTTTCAGCCACACTTTGTGTTTCGCGTGTGCAGCTAAGAGACCCAAGCATTGAACCGTGAGATGAAATTTACCTCCCTTGGTGAATTTCCCTAACTGGGTTCCCAGCGAAACTAAGTTATCTCGCTTTACGTTGGTTGCTCGCTTGACCAGAGATTCTGATACGTAGTAAACTCTGTTTCTCTGGAGACGAAAGCAGTAACGGCCGGGAGTGTTGTCGGTACCTTCGTGAGATGGGTTTTCCACTATGTTCTTCAGATTGTTTCCGACGAATTTGTGTAGCTTTTCGAACACCTGTGTTGTTTCTTGCTCATCTAGCGGTCGCATTTTTGCCTCAGTTGGATAAACCCTAAAACCCTGCAGCTTTTCTTGGTCTTCTTATACTACTGCATCGAATCAGGTTTGGGCCTTAAATGAGTAAGGCCCATTCAACTGACCTGAAGAGTAAGCCTAGCATTTTAGGGATCAAAATTATGTTTTTATGAAGAAAACAAAATTAAGCTAATAATAATAATTTTAATATGAAATACGCATTTCATTTCCTCTTCGTAATTTTATCCTTCAATTTTTAGTAAATTCATCGACGAAAAAAAATGAATGACAAATTGAGGAACTTTAAGTGTCATATTTGCGTGCTGTAATAAACAAAATTGAATAGTTTGGTAAGTGGATTTTGGGTTTGTGACCTCTATCTTAGCCTAAACCTTCTCAAGGACCTAAGACGACTCCTTTGTATATATACGAAATACTATTATGTTTACCGATACGCTTCAAATCGTAAATTTTGATGCAATATTTTCTGCGAAGCTATCGAGCCAAGTCTAATGTAAACTATCTCTCTACCCCACAAGGGTTGTGGGGTGAGGTACATCTCACTCGCCAAACCCCACACTGGTGGGACTATCCTGGGTTTATTGTTGTTATACTGTTGTTTTCGTCATTATCTCCAGAATATTTCATTCAAAAAAAGTAGTTGTTCCAGATACATGAGCACAAAACTTCACCATTCGGAGCAACAACATCATCGCACAGTCGGTAAGAACTATATAATAACAATCTGCTTGGCGTTATAAATGGCCTATCACCAAATCTTTCCCCACTAAAATTGAGGAACACTAATAACAAAGAAGATTTACAGATTAAATTATACCAGAAAGAAAGTAAACATATAAATTAGTTTTGACCAGAAAAGGTAAGTTTTTGTTCTGGAGATATTATTCACCTGCCCAACAGTGTGGTTCTTGAAAGACTATATCAAGAAATCCAAACCCCTGCCTTTGCATATAGAGTTATATATAAATCTACAGGCTCCCGACAACATCATCACGAGCTCTTTCTCTTGAAACATTCAGCCTCATGTCCCCTCAAAACCAAAAATCCTTTCTTTAGAAAATGCAAACTTTCTATTTTCTTCTAAATGCACCAAAAACCAAAACTCAATAATCACCACCTTCCGACGTGCAAACAGAAAAATGGTCCAAATGTGTAAATTTTCATAATTAATCCAACCACCTGGATCTCAGATCTACAAGGAAGCAACTACTCATATGACACAGCAGCAAGCAGCCAGTTGAATGCTAAACCTTCCAATTATTTTTGAGGAGCAGCTCAATCACCTCCAGCTACTCTGGACCTACACGAAAGAAGGGGCAAGGGGAGTGGACAGAAGAATTGCTCAACCATGCCTTCCTCTATATGCAAACAAAAATGAACATGTGTTTATTTTTATCTACAGAAAACATGTACTCATACATCATCTTAGATAAAAGAATAATAAGGCACATATACCTCAAAACTACATTACATACAACAATTTGCTTGGTTAATTGACTACAGAAGAAACCAACTTTTCCTAATTTTCAACCAACCCCAATATGTGAAAACAAGTGACAAACAAAACCTAAAGTGTTCTACTTCTCCAGTTTTTTAGGTTTCGGCAAGAACACTACACGTGCACAGGGTGGGCTGAGGGGGCAGGAAAAAGGAAAGATTCTCTAATGTAAATTGAGGCAATGGCACCTTATAAAAGTAATCAAATAGTCAATAATCAGAAATGGAAGGAGAGACGAAAATTCTCAATGTTTTAGTCAATGCAGCAACCCATCAAAGCAAAACCAGACAAGTGTGTGTCAGCCAACTGGAGGTCAATCAAAGCGTAGGTAGGAGTAGGAAAGATGATTGCATCTCTGAGATATATATAATAGTGCTCCTGAGTTTTGTTACAAACGCAGAGCTGGAGGTGATATTATCAGATTTTTGGATGTGTAACCAGGAATCACAAGTAGAACTCTCAAATCATACTAAACCAAATAAAGCAAAAGACTAAAATTGATCATCACATGGCATGAGTATTTGATCTGCATCACCCCAAAACTGCCAGCTTTTCAACAATCTGTCACTCAATGACTAACCAACTACAAATCACAACCAACCCAATGGAAAATCTCCATCCAAAAGAAAAATTGAACTGTACAAAGAGTGGTGGTGTGGGGTGGGTTGTGGATACAGTACAAAGCTGAATATCAATTACAGAACATAAAATATGCCTAAAGAATAATGAATGTACCTGACAGACAGAATCCTATCCCTTGCTCGTCAACACCCGGTAGTTGAGGATAAGGTCTTCAGGTTTCTTCCATATATATGCACGGACAGTCGCTAAGCTCATATCAGGGGATAAGACCTGGTAAAAGTACAAAAATGAGTTCACTAACCAGGAACTAGAGTAAGAACCTACATATTAAAATCGACCAATTATCTAGCCACATCCTCTAACATACACAGATTGTGTGAAGTTCTAATGCTAAAATTTGACATCAATACTTCCATACATCACGAAGAAATGGGATGAAAAAACGCAGTGCTTGAAATTAAAGACTAACCAGCTATGCAATCCACACAACACAAACGGAAATCTAAACTTGCCTGGTTACTGCACAATATCTCTATGGATGGTTTAAGCTTTTGCCAAGGCTTCAGCCCAGTCCGAAATATGCCATCTCCTCCATTAGCTGGGTGTGTCACCTGTCCACCAGACACTCCAGCAGCTCCATCTGAGTTTAGGCTATCCAGTGGCTTATCAAGAACCATCTTTTCTATAACATAGTTGACGACCTGACAAACAAATTCAGTGCAACTTTGTCATATTCATCCTCTACAAAATGGAGGTTTTTCAGCAATAAATCTATTTGTAAGAGCACCAATTCTCCATGATCACTGACGCTTAACATAAAGCTGGTAATGCAACTACCCCAACTAAATCAATAGTTCAGGCAGAGAAAAGAAACACGGTGAGTGTTTCTCGACGAAGTATATATGGACCATGAAGACAAATTAGTAGATGTGCAAGTTCTCAGCACTGGAAATATGTCCATAGGCATTCACAACGACAAAAGATTGCTTGTAGAGATAATGTAATTTTTATTTATATTAAGATTGAAGCTTGTAGCCTGCTCACAGAAATTACTCAGCCACAAACATTAGCTCTATAGTCGAGGGATATAAAGTCATATCAGAACACATCATCTCCAACAGAAACAATTTCTTGATGAATAGGACTTTTTACAAGGAGACCAGTAATCCACCACCTGAAGCTCCATCACATGTCAAGTAATAAGTGAGTGATCATGTGGTCTACCATGAATGGTCTGAAGTATTTACGCTATTTCTTAGATTTCCATTAAGAAAAGGTTTGGACCGCACCTATAACAATTGCATTAACAACCATATTTAAATTTGCTGCATGACCAGCAGATCAGTATTGTTTCATTAGAACAATAGGTTGTATTATCACACAACAAAATAGTTGTGCGGGAGTATGACTTCCATTATTATTGACAACGCTTCAAGGCAGATAATCCTCACCATTTTTCTCTCAAGAACACAGGTGTTACCAACATATACAAATCTTCAGATAGTTCATTGGCATATTCCTCCAGTATATCTTTTGAGTTTCTTTCAATTGAGACAAGGATCCTTCGGAAACAGCCTCTCTACCTCTACGAAGTAGGGTAAGGACTGCATGCGCTCTACTCTCCCTAGATCCCACTTGTAGGATTTCACTGGGTATGTTATTGTCATATCTTTGAGTTTCTTTACTATTTAAATGCATGAGACACAAGTCATAATGGGTCAGGAAAACAGAATCGTTTAAAACTTCAAGTATCCTGGTAATATGCATACAACAAATGACTTAGTAAACCAACAAAGGCCAATGTAAATCACCACAATACTGACTCCACCACGAGATTCAAGGAAAAGATACTTACTTTGTGAATTCTTAATATGCGAGGCGCACTCAGCTTTCCCTGGGTAAGGATCTGAACAGTAGAACCCTCGCATGGATGTAAGTAGAAGCTACATCTGCAAATCCATTAAGATGAGGGGAGAAAATGGTCAAGAAAAAGTGACTTTGCACATAAAGATGGAAGATCAAAAAGTGTTTTGTAAGCATTGCTGCAACTCAGAGAGTTGAGATAATGTTAAGTGCCTCCAGAAAGACTTCCTTTTAGTTCTAAACAAGTGCTCTCAGCTCTGTAAGTTCAAAATGCAAGTTGAGCACTATGAAGAAAGTAGAATACAGTTATATTGGAATATTACTTGGTATTTTCCCTGGGAGGCAACCGATTGTTCATCACACAATCCACTACCCACCATGGCATGTCCTTTTCATCTTCTGTTCCATCTAAGTCGGTAATCTTTTTCCTCCATGGACCACTTTGAGAACCCTCAGTAATAATTGATGGAGGGCATGCTGCTGAAAATTCAAAGGGAGGATATACTGCAGCATCATTGTCAGCACTACCGTCCACTTCAATTTTTGACGCGGTCAGATTCCTTGTAGGTACATCCTTTCCAGCTGGGGCTTCCCCATTGGCCAAAGCTTGAGATCCAAATCTCTGTTTTCTTTTGGCTAACCAATGAGCCAACAGCCCTTTAAGGGTTTCTCGTGCCAAATTAACCTAGCATCAAAAAGCCGATCACAATTTCAGTTCGTCTCTCGCAGAAATATACAAAAATTTATCAAATGAATGATAAATCAGGAAGTTATTAAAAGAATTTAATTGATTAATTAATTAATAAGAAGAACCATTTCCAGGAATTGAGTGCGTCTTATGCACACCATTTGCTATAGTACAACTCCCAGAACTAGTTAAAAGATCACAACTAAAAAAGTCATGTCTGAGGACTGAGATACATTCTGCTAAACCATCCACGTACTTACTTACAAGAATAATAAGTATTATGCCTTATCCAAAACTATTTAGGTTGAATTTTATAAATCTTCTATATGCTCCATTTGGACCCATTTCCTTCAAATACTAAATGATTTGTCTGGAGACAGATTAGGAATTCTCTGAAACTATATATTCCCTAATTCTCACATTTGTCTCCCCCCCCCCCCCCCAATCACATGCAACTTGATAACAAAACTAATAGGAACCCTAGAAAACATCGGAACTAGTTCCGGTAAAACAATCTTTTCTGGCTTTCAATCTTGAAAAAAAAAACTAACAAAAACAGCGGCCAAGAGACTATACTTCAAGAATAGGAAGGCAGTAACGGGAATAAATGAAAATAGATTTAGGAACCAAGCAGAAAATAGAAGATACAAAAACCGTTGTAGATACCTTGTCATCTTCAGGCTTCCCTGGAATGTGGAGATCAGCAGAGTACATCTCAGCAGAAAAGCATTGTGGTGTATCCAGATGTACAGACAAGTTTCCAAGCTTAGTGTCCACAGTGAACCATGCAGGGATGCTCACCTGAAGAGGCAAATCATATCAGAAGAAAAATTATATGTGGAAGTTGGATAATTCTACAAAGATATTTACCATCTCAAAAAGTTCTTCTTTCTTCTTCTCAAATGAAACCTACATTTGGACAAAAGTACGGTGAAAAGAAGTTAAAAAGACAATATGAAAAAAAACGTTTAGAGGTAGAAGGCGACAGCTGTCATAATTCAAAGAAAATTAAACAAAAGAGTTTGCTCAAAACAGGCCATTGTAACTTAGCATGCCACTTGAAACATTACAATCTAACCTCTCCATAGTTGTGAATCACAGTGCCTCTAGTGATCTCCCACAACTTCACTGTTCCAGCAGTATCCTTTAAAGACAAAAGCCATTGTCAGGTTACAAAATCATATTTTTAGAAGACAGTTTAACCTCATTAAGAACAATAAAGCCATAAGCCACATGGGTATAAATGCAAAACAAACTTACCTTAGTCAGGACATGTCTTCTGTTGTTCAAAATCTCATGCTGCACTATTCCTGGAGTTCCAGGAATGCTAAGAGATGGTTCTTTATAAACAGGAACCTACATTATTGACCAATTGTGAGTTTTTTAATATTTAAAGATGTAAGTGGAAGTAAGAGAATATAATTTAATATGGAAGGGGCAGATAGATTCATATCATATTACTCCAATGTTGGTAAAAGATACCCACCAAAAAACTTATAGGTCACTAAAGAAGGTTTGGAACTCTAGGATACCAGTGAAAGTAATGTGCTTCACATGGCTAGTTATCAAAAAAAGCTTGGCTAACTCAAGACAACTTGCAAAAGAGGGGCACACAACTAGTCAGCAAATGCTTTCTATGTGAAGGAGAATCTGAATCGAAACATCTTTTTTTGTATTGTCCTTCAAATAGTGCTTATAAGTAATCCTAAAAAGGAAAAGAAAGTAATTCCAATTCCAAATTACACAATCTTAAGGATTCAATATATTTCCCATTACTGATGTCCGCAAAAGAAGCAATTGAAAGCAAATAAGAATAAAGTACAATCATATGGCCACATAAAGGATTAAAAGATTTTGACCAAAAATACGATGAATATGATCATGGAGAGCTCAAAAAAAATAACAAGTCCTAATTCACTACTCTTCAATAAGTTCCCGAACAGAGCCTTCCATATTGCAACTTACGTTAGCACATCAATAACCACTTGAATTTGATAAGACTTTCTTCTTACTCTGTTGGTTAAGTCAAGACCCGGAAAATTTGAAGTAGAAAGATTATAAGAAGAGTACATATTTTATCTGGAAACATAGTGAACTCCACATGAGACAAGAAAGACTGATAAAAACTCAAAATTGAGAAATATCCTTCATGTGCTCACTCGTTAAAGAAAACCAGTTTCCAGTTCTGATTAGCAGCTCATCTTTAAAATGCATCCTTTCTAAAGAGGAATCCAGAAATAGCAGCTATTTTGGAACCCCATACATCAATTAGAAATATGTTCCAATAATCTTAGCGATAACATCAACAAAGGATATAAAGGGGTGACAGGGAGTTGCTCAGATGGTTAGGACCCCTCAGCTTCAACCCTAAGTTTGTGGGTTCGAGTCACCAAGAGAGCAAAACGGGTCAGAGATCCTAGGGAGGGGCTTTGGAAAAAAAAGATATAAAGGGGTTGAAACTCACAGGTGTAGATCCTTCTAGAGAAACCCTTGCCCGGGAAAAGGACAAGTTTCCAGCCAAGAATGAGCCCCCTCTTTGGAAAACTTTCTGGGGATTACGCACTTCTGCAGCCCACCTATGTACAGATGAATCAGTTGTGGCCACCCAAATGCCATCATCATGCAATGCTAACTGCAAAATGGGGTGTTCCTTTGTGCACATCAATACACTCTCCCTTGTTGCCAAATCTGTCAAGTATAACTGCAAGTGCAAGCAAAATTTAGCAAGGAAACAATGACTGAGAGAATAGAAATCCGCGTATGGGGGTAAGAGAGAGAGAGAGAGAGAGCTATATTGGATAAGTTGTATTAAGCTCACTTACAGATAGGTCTCTTCCACCACTATAAACATGACTAAACGTAGGAGTGCTAGCAAGTGACCATACAGAATCCGTATGCACAGCATAAGAATGCACGCAACGCTGCTGACCTAGATCCCATAGTCTGAAATGTGGAGGTATAGTTTTTTGTTATAAACCAAATGTTGGAGGTAAAGTGAAGTTTGTAATTAGATGAAAAAAGACCAAACAAGTGTGACCACAAGATCTTATTTGGAGAAAATGTATAACTGGTCATCATAAAACAATGAAAACAGTGGAACCAAGCTGTTTAAAAAACTGATATGAACTTGATAGAATCTAATGATTCAACACCAAACCAACTACCACGCCAAGGGAGCCAGTGTCTATGGAAACTAAGTAATGGAATTATCAATACTTACCTAATCATGGAATCAGAGGATCCAGATATGCAGAACCTACAAAAATGGAGGATTGGACCATTAATTCAAAAGAATCATAAAAGTGGAGGATAAGACCATTATCCAAAAGAATTCAATAAGTTGCACTAACCATACACTGAAGGCATTGAAGACCGCGCCAACCAGTATAGGAACGCAAGCCAAAAAAAGAACATCTAGATATGGATACAAAAGTATTTATCTACAGTTGCATGGATCATCGACCAATAATGTAACTAGTTTTCTGTTCTCAGGTTTTCAACTAACTTACTGAACTAATGCTAGGTTAAACTATCTATTATAATCAGGAGTGTGGACTTGTGACCCAAGAAAAGGCATTGGAGTGATGGGACAAAATAAATTACTCTGCTACAAAAATTAATGTTTTCAAAAGCAACAGTGGTACTCATGCAGTATCCTTGGTATTTTGCCCCTTAACGCTTTATGCCACAGAGTATTCACCAAAAATTGCCCTAAATGCGCCTTGTATGTGCTTTCACGTTAGATTATCCATCCTATATGCCTTAGAAAAAAATTGTTTTAAATTTTATTTCAAGTATTTGATTATAAGTTACATAGTATCTTGCTTTATGATTAACGATTTGTGATTATTATGTACATATATTTATTATGCCTAGACAATTAAATCAGCTGCTGCACATTTTTTTCTTTTGAAGTACAAAATTTTCTATATTCTATCTATGTACTATAATGTTATATTATTTTTAACATATTTTAATTACCAAAACTTTGTGGGAATTATACCCTACCCATGACAGGTAAAATGTCCTCCACCTTTTCAAAACGTTTATATGATAATCTGTCTTCAGCAATGCTTAACCAAAGTTAAATAGTTTCAGATCGGCTGGAAGCAATGACATTTTAGATGAACTTGAGAAAATAACCTAGTCAAAACGCCTTCATAGCATCATTGTTTATTCAACATACCTGCCAGTGGAGTCTATCAGAAGAGCCCTAATATTATCTGTATGACCTTTTAGCTTCATGGTCTTGGAACCAGTTCTTGGGTCCCAAACGCGCACAACCTAGAAGAAAATCAGAACATAGTCATTCAAAGCTTCTATGCTAGTAGGTTAACTTGTGTATCAAAATATTCCAAACTAACCTAACAAACAGAAATATACCTTCTCAGTACCACCAGAAACAAGAAGGGATCCACTCTCATTCATTGCCAATGCATATACGGACTCCTTATGGCCTTTTGCAGTCACAGGAATATATACTTGAGACTGGGTCTGCAAGGAAATGTTATTGCCCGAACTGATAGGACGGATGCTTGTCATGGGCAATGAACTTCCTGAACCATTGACACCATTTGAACAGTCTTCTTCGGTGGCATCACCGGACTTAGATGTCGGAGTAAGTGCAGCTTCAAGATCCCATATGAAAACCTCACCACCAAGACCAGCAGATGCAATAACATTGCTCTGTCATTATGGTAACAACAAAATCAGAAAAAAAGGCAATTACACTCACATTAAAGCCAAAAGACTCAACCACAATTTCAGCCATAAGTTTGATTCATCAAACGATTTAAAAGTACTAAAAGCTTTTGCAGAGAAGTGATACATTTTTTTCTGCTGAAGCAAGGGTGGTGACGTAATCGGAGTGCTGCCGGAGTGTCTTAATACAATATCCCTCAGATAAGCCATTCCACACCTAATGATCGACACAAGTTTTTCCAAATAAAAGAAACTTCCAAATTACTTCTATACAGTAACTGTAAAAGTAGCACTTCATACAATAAAAGATTCAGAAGTTTAGTAAAACCTTGACAGTGGTGTCTGAGGAGCATGATACTAATGTGTTACTACCTGTAAGAACTGCATCATTAACCTGCAGAATGATTGAGCCCCAAAAACAATTCAACGCTAGTGATATTCATAATAGACATAATATAAAGGGTATAGTTGCATCACCAAGTATTATTTTAAGCATTAAAAGGACAAACAACAACACATCCTGGTATGTACACCAGGTCGGAACTAATTTAAGCATTTAACGGACAAGTCAACAACACATCCTGGTAATGTACACCAGGTTGGAGAGTTTTCATCTAAACCATAGAATTCCATACAAAATAGAGCAACTGCAGACACTAGGAACTAATACTTGTTGACCTTACCTAAATAAGTATAAATCTGGCGAATACAAATATTCTTTCTCGAGTAAATATATTAGAAAGCTGAATTTAATTGGGCTTCAGCGGGAGCCTATGGAAATACAATTAGCAAGGCAGACAGGAGCAGTACCCAATCGACATGTGACTCAAATGTGGCAGAGCAGGTGGCACCATCTTCAGCCAATGCCCATCTCTTTAATGTGCCATCTCTGCTCCCAGTGAATAGGTATTCACATCCATCAGTTGCTGGTGACTTCAATACAGCCAAAGAATTTACACCTGCACAATGCTGTAAAGAGAAAAATGTAAATGAACAAAGGGTTAGAGATCATTTAGCAAAGACACAAAAACAGAGTAACTGCACGGAATTTGTTTAACTGCAAATAAATAAAAGGTATATATGAAAAACTGATGCAGTTTCCTAATATATACGATTATGGTGTACTAACAAGAAATTAAAAGAAGTGAAAAATCTTCAAGATAACCACCTTAGAATGTAACTTAAATTAAATTAAGATGAATTTACATCAAGAAGTTCAATTCTTTCTTGGTTGCCAGAAAAGGAGGTAAGGAGAATGCCGTCAATAACAATTTATAGTAACAAACAACAAAAGGTAGAGAGAGAAAATGGAATCAGGAGATGTACACTATAATGATAACCTTACAAGGATTTATAAATAAAAAGGGAAAAATATTAATGAGTCAATCACAGGAATTAAACTTCAGTTGTCCATAAAAACTTTTGAGCCTAAAAAAGAACAAAAGGTAAGCTAATGCTACATTGCTTTGAATGGTAAATGGGATGAACCTGCAATTAGCGACCTAACAAAAAATTATTACACTACATAGGCTTCCTCATATCACGAGACAAAAGTATTTTAGAAACCTTGTTGAAGTATTATTTTTGATGACTAATTTATCCAAAAAATAAAATTATTACTACAATGTTATGCTACCTTTGTCCTCCCTCCGTCCCAATTTATGTGATACTTTTTTCTTTTTGGTCGATTCCAAAAAGAATAACATCTTTCTATATTTGTAATAATTTAACTTTAAACTTCTCTAAAGTTACCAGTTTAAAAAAAGAACTTCCCATTTTACCCTTAATGAGATAATTTATAACCACCAAAAATTGTGGCTTATCTTAGATCACAAGTTTCAAAAATGTTTCTTTTTGTCTTAAAATTCCATGCCTCGAGACAGAGGGAGTAACTTCTTTTGATGAAGTAACAATTATTTGTTTACGGAAGGGCAAAAATACTAGTATACAAGAAGTGTCAAAAGTAAAAAAACTTACAAGAAGATATGAATTTCTAATAAGATACCAACTCTACCATATGTATAGGAATCTCATGGGTGCACCAAAAAGAGATAAGGGAAACATAGCTACTCCTCAAGTGTACCTCTTCTATTTCTCTCTCCAATTACTGCATTATAACTTGTAATATTAAAGACTTAAAGTAGTAAACAACAATACATCGTGGGAATCACATATTCACTTTACCTGTGTCCGATGGAGACAAAAGCCACAACAAAATTGTAAGAGAAAGGATGTCCTGCACTAGAAGGCTAGGAAGGATGAGATGTCTACAAAGAATTCATGCTACAATGTACTTATGGCTAGTGGGAGTAGAAGAGGACAGTGGCCAAGATGATTTGGAAATAAAAAACAGACTAAAGTAGCTTGCTTAGGATGGACAACAACTAAAGAGACTTGTTGACTCAAGATAACCTCCATATAAAAGAAAATTGCTTATGTTACGTGACAAATCACAGAAGATGGATGTGAGAATAGGCACCTGAATCCCCTAATCATCTCCGCTACACTATGACAAAACATCAGATGTAGTGTTTCTATCTCAAACTGTTTGGAGTACATTGGGTAATGACATAGACACTGAAGAAGAATTTACTCAGCTGGGAAAGAGTTAATACAGAGATAAAATAGCTCAAAGCTTTCTGGAGAACAAAGCCAATGGGCATACTCTGAAAAGTTTGGTTGGAAAGCAACCACAAATGCTTTAAGAGCAAATATATATAATTATTTTTTATATGGTAATAAGGAAATGTTATACTTTATGCTCCCTGCATAGGTAAGGATAAGCTTTTGTTTCAGGATATATCACCATGTAAATCAGCTCCAAGAATAATTATTGATCAGGTGACCTATTCACGACATCAACAAACCATCTCAGGCAACATTATCTCACTTCCTCCTCCTTATGTGCTAATTTAACTCTGTGACATGTGGTCTCTAATCTTGTCCAACCTTGTATGACTGCACATCTATCTTAACAATCACATCTCTACGACGTTAAATGTCCTATAATATTGCTACTCTTACAACTATTCTAAGAACTCAGTTTTCAGTTTAAAAGGTAACCTTCTTCGTATAACATTCCCATGAAACCCCTCTATTTCAACCACCTACATAAAATATGCACCAAATCTTCAAGAGTAAACCTAGATAATTAAATTTATTTGTCGTTAGGCACTACAATCCCATCTACTCACATTTCACCTTCCCTTTTCGTGAGGGTTGCATATGCAACGCATACTCTAGTCCTACTTCAAATTATCGTAAAACCCTTGCTCTTGGGGGAGCTTCTTCTTTTTTATGAAGAACGTCTTCATAGTTGTATCTTTTGGTTGATTCCCTCACAAATTTCATGAATTAAAAAACAACATTGGATGCATCATAGGACCTCATCCTATGCATATTATTGCTTACTCAAAACTAATTGGGTAAATTCCTTTTGGGTATCCTTATATGTTCTTACACTTGTAATTGTTCCTTCATACATACTATTTAGTACATCAACATGTTTATATGAATTCATTGCTTTTCAAGCACCCAACAAAAGACTTTTCTTGGCACTCTATCATATGCTTTATCATAAGCAAATGAATATTATATGGACATGTATCTAGGCTTTCCACTTTTCGTGGCACTCGATCATATGCTTTGTCATAAGCAAATGAATATTATATGGACATCAATCTAGACTTTCTTACAAATTTCTATCGATCTTCTTAACTTAAACTATATCCTTTTCATAGATCAACTAGGCAGAAGTTTAAATTCGTTCCTATCATCCCAACTGAGACCTTTACAAACATGCAGTGGAAGGATGAACAATCAGGAATACAATTTATTTTGTTATGAGTACATAAATTCTAACAAGAAGTAGGGCAAGAAATATAGTGTAGGAAGAGAAAGCAAAGGGAGAAATGTAAGCCTCATGCCAGTTGTTCTTGAGGGGCATCCTAAAGAAAAGATGCAACAAAATATCTCAAGGGTCAAGAGGAATTTCTTTTACTGGTAGAGAAAAACAGAGGGAGCACAAATAGTGAAAAAACTTCAATTCAAGGGGTAAAAAAGCCACAACTTGCCTGAACATTTTTTTGATGAAGGGAGTTATCATTAAAAAAGCATCCACTGGATGCACAGATTACAAAAGGAGATAACTGACAGTCGGAACACAACTAACTTTAACTTACTTTGTACTTATCAACCTTGCCCAAAAATACCATTAGATACAAAATACACATCTAGTGAAGTCCAGTATCAAACTCTGCCATATAAGTGAAGTTTAAATTTGAGAAAGCAAGCCTAATTCAGAAGACTTGTAAAGAGCAGCATAAATTTTAAGACCACCAACAATGTCTGAAAAACAACTTATTATGACTTCTTTAACTTAAGCTAAACGTGACCTGGCTTCACAAGTTTCCGCTTCTTTCTATTAAAATAAATTATTCTTATGAACTTTCTCTTCTTTTCTAAAAATGGCTTCTTAGTGTTGTTTTTATTTTTCCATGATTACTGTGACAAGCAATAAGTTCTTTGAGGACAGTATTTTTGGCATATGATATCTCAACAAAATTATTCTCTTTGCTACTGTCAAGCTCATCATATTCAGAGCAACAAAAGATCCACAGAGTTGAGGAAATAACTCAGGGATGCGTTCAGAAAAGTCTATAGGAAACAACACTCAGACTTCAAAGAAAAAAGTAGCTGAATGTAACAAATGGGGCTGCTTGAACCAAAAGAAAAAAAAAGAAATCATAATTTCCACTCAGCTAGTTTCAGCAATCTGTATATGGAAAACAGATAATAAAAGGTAATGCACATATAAAGAGAGGAACAAAAGTAAGGCAACGGGGGGCAGAATACACTAAGGCGAGCCGTCAATGACAGTTTAAAGTTCATCAAACTAGGTTATACACAAAAGAGTACAGCTTTCCAGAAGTCACACCTTAGTGTCACCTGCATCATTCAAAACATAAGTCAACCTCTTCTCCTTCCTAGGCCGAACCGAATTGGACGTGTTCCCTGCACTTGCTACACGGTGCATTGCAGAAATCCCTAACCAAGAAATAAGTGGACATATCAATATTCTGTATGAGGGAGAGAAATCTCCAATCACTCTCAACCAAGAAAGGAAATCTTTAATTCAGACAGTACAACTATCCAAGATTCTCGTCAAGAACTAACCTATAACTCACAACAACTCTATTCTGAGCAGATTCTAACCTTAGCATTTAAGTTCAACCTCAACTTCTTTCAACGCCATGAAAAAAAAAATATCAGTTCCATAAACACCCAAAACAAAACCAATAAACACCCAAAACAAAACCAGTAAACACCCAAAACAAAACCAAAAAAAATAACCATGAACTAACTCACAACGAAAAACCCAATTCAAGAAACATCACGATCAATCAAGAAAACAATAGTTTACTGAATTTAAAATATAACATAATCGGATCAAATAAGAGGAAATTTTCCATTAATAGACAAGTCAAAGACTTAAAAATCAAATGTAAAAAAATAATCTAATTTTCAGATACCCAAAAAAGAAAAACGTGGTGGGCACTATTGGATTTGGTTTAAAAAGCCAAATAGGCGAAGATTATAGGGATAGAATATCAACCTACTTCATTAAAATCTGCAGAAAAAACTGAAGATTTCCGTGAGAAAAACCAACCCTTATTTTCGCTTCAATTGGATTTCAATTAGCGATTTACCCTTCTTCTGCTCGCTGTAGAGATTCCTAAGAGTGAAAGAAGACTATAAGTATCGGTGTAAAACCGTAGTCTCTCTATCGAGTTCGCCAGAGAGAAAGAGAGGTGTTTGTTTAGTGTTTTTCAATGCTTTGGGATGAACTCATCGAGTTTCCCCTATTTCTTTTTTTCCTCTCTAATATCCAAACAAAATACTACTCTTATTTATGATAAAATATATTTTTCGCCAAAAATGTTTTGCCATCCACTTCTTAATTGATTATCTGATAAAATAAATCGGTATATACTATTATCTTATAAATATTTTACATAAAAGCTAAAGCATAAACAAATATTAGTAGGGTTGGGTGTTGAGCTGGAGGTGTGAGTAGGAGCAAAATCATGTGAGTCTAGATTTGGAATTATCGTTTAAAGAGGTTAAAATACGAAAAAAGTAAAAATATGACATGGTTGAATTTTTATTATTATTATTTTATATATATATATAAGATAATTATTTTAATCATATATGATTAGTGTAGTTTTTTCATTATTATCATAGTATCCACGCACCTTGACCGATTCCACGTGGTATTCGTCATCTTCCACCAACAATGAGTACTAGCCACTAGGTTACTATGTCCACCATAGGTACGACAATGGGAAAAATTATCTACTCTCTGCGTTTCACAAAGAATGACCTGATTTGGCTTGACACAGAGTTCAAAAAATATAAAAAAAAAATTGTATCTTGTGGTCCTAAATTAAAGTTAGGTTATATTTACAAAATTGTCTTTTTATCTTGTGGGTTGTGGCCTTAAACATACCACGTGGTAAACTGAAATTAAAATGTTGTAAAAAAAGAAAGAGGTCATTTTTTTTAAACAAACTAAAAAAAAAGATCGTTTTTTTTTAACGGATGGAGTAATATTTTTGTTTCCGCTGAATCTTAAACGCGAAAACTTAGAATTTTCAACCACTTTATTGATCACTAGAGCACACTTCATCAAAGTTATAGCATAATTTATTGAAATACTGTTCATTTGAATCTTATTCAACAAAATAAATTTATAGATAATATATATTGAATGACCTTTGACTTTGTTTGTTTAGTTGTTTCATTTTTCCATAATTTTTCAGTTTATAGTAAAAGAATTTAATTTTGTTGTTTAATATGGACGATAGCTTTTTGAAATGAAGTTATGAGATAATGTTTGTTAGCAGGTGGATATTAAAAGACTAGTATCGAGGGTTATTTATAAAATTTATTATCCTACTTTCGCTGTGTAAGGAATTTTATTTGATTCTAATGATATTTACTTTCTCAAAGAAAATATTTTGATCAATTAAAAATTGAATTTTAAAAAATACATATTGAGAAATATTCATTTGTACCAAACACCCCCTTAGTTTTGGTTTATTTGACCACTTATTATTTTGAGACCATTGGAGTATGTAACATTATTCTTTCAACTTTAGAGGGGGCACCACAACGAGTGTCGTGTTCAAGATTTTAATTATTTTTTTTTAATAGTTTAAGTGACTCTTGGTTATTAAATTCAAATGATAAAGAGGATAATATCAATTATAGTTTTCTTGTTTTTAATTTATAATAAATCTATAAGACTTGTTAAAACTATAAACTGCTCATTATTGAATACTAAAATATAACCATCCGAGTTTTAAAAGAGTCTACTATTATTATTTACCAAGAAACTAAACAATTTGAATCAAGATATTTAAATGATTTTACAATTAAGTCAATGCATATATCCCATAATAAATAAAGGGCGAAAATCATTTAGGATTACTTTAAGAAATTAATTTTTCTCTCCATTTTGAACAGTAGATATTATCCCATGTTTCTTCTATTTGTCTTTTTTTAATATATGTTTCACTATTGCATTATCAACCTTTATATATATATATATATATATATATATAATAAATCTATGTAGCTTTAG